GGCCTTTCAGGAAAGCAAGGTGAATAGTGCACATTGGGTGAAAACTAGAGAGCAGTTACATGTGAACATAAGATGATACGGGCTTACAATAAGGATGCAGGAAGTCAAGCTGGGATTACCCTCTAAGGTTGAAGCTGTGGTGCTGCCAGGTCGGGACTGCTGGCAGATGGCTTGGAGATTATATAATGCCACAAAGTTGAGAAACGAAGCAGTTGACTGAGAGGAGAGATCTGCCTGCTACTGAATCCAGAAGTAATTTTATTTGCAATTCTCTCATCTTTGCTGTAAACTGAGGAGCTCACCCTTATTTAGAATCTAAATTTTAGTCTATTTTTTATACCTTAAGGATAACTATACTACCACTTTGGTGGCCTTCATTACTTGAGGAAAGATGTATTATAATTTTAATCTTTTATGAATTGAGCATAGAGTTGGGAATATGGAGCCAGGGGAAAAGCTTTTTTGAACTAGAAATTTTAAAATTTATGAAATGTGTACCACATTTAAAAATATCATATATAGCTCTAAAAACTTAATTTAGAAATCTAAAAATGTTACTGATTTTCTGATCAAATTATTAGTACATCACATTAAATTTATAAGTTTATGGGTTAACTTAAAATTTACTAGTTGAACTAATTTTTAAACAGCTTTATTGCAGTGTGATTTACATACAATAAAATTCACCTGTTTTAATTACACAGTTGAGTTTGGGGCAAAGGTTCTATAGTCCTACATAGTCTCACTCACACAGTTCCATCACCCCAAAAGTTCTTGTGCATCTTTGCAGCCCCACCTGTCCCCAGGCAGTCACTGATCTACTTACTTTCTGTCACTATGATTTTGCCTTTTCTAGAAATTCAGACAGTATTCAACCTTTGGTGTATGGTGGCTTTTAGTTAGCATGTTGTCTTGAGTTTCTTCATTTTGTTGAGTGTATCAGTAATCCTTTTTTATTGCCAAGTACCAGTCCATTGTTTGGATAGATTGCATTTTGTTTATCCATTCACAGTTGATGGACATTTTGGTTGTTTTCAGTTTGGTGCTATTATGAATAATGTTTTTTGTTTTTTTATTTTTAGTTTGTCTTTTCTAATAATTTTTAATTGGGATATAATTCACATACCATAAAATTCCCCCTTTCAATGTTGGTTCTTTGCATATTTACAGAGTTGTACAACCATCATCACCGCCTTTATTTAAGGAGTCTGTATCCATCATGATTTTTCAGAGTTTCTGGATTACAGGACTTAGTTTAAGGAAATGCTTTTGTTGCTAACTTATCTCACTTTTTCTCTTGCAGGAAAGTTCACATCCTTGGCTCTTTCCAAAACATCAAGATGGCAAGAACTGCCATCTGCAACCTTATCCTGGGTAATAGCAGTTTATATCTTGGTGTTTTCTCTGTGAAGAAAAGAATAGGAAATCCAGGAACTCAAACCAGATTTGCAAGTCAATTGAGGGTGATGTTAAAGAGGCAAGGAGAGACTCCTAGGGATTGGCACACGTGGGCCTAAGAGAAAAAAAGTGGGAATCTTTTTATTTGGATTCCAGCTGTCTGCCTTCTAGAGAACAGAAAGGGTTTATTGGCTTATGTTGGTTAAATCTTTTCTGCCTTGATGAGGCGCGCAAAAAAGCCATTCCAAAATAGCAGCAGCAACACCATGTTTTAGGTTCAACAGAAAGGAAGCTGCTGATCAGCACCAGTCAACTTACTCTACTTAGATCCATTTCACAGAGGGCAGCGAAGTCAGTAAGTTCCGATAAAGGTTACAGAAGTGTAGCAGTTTGCTCCCAAAACACGGGCTTCTCTCTTGGTGCCCAGGTCTGACTGACTGGCTTCCTTTTGAAATATTTTGACAACTTGGTGGTTTTGGCTCTTAGGATTTAAAATGTTTTTTTTGGAGAATATTTGGGTATGGTCTCGTTAGGTCTTTTGTTGATTTAAGGTAGATCCAGTGGGAAATGCCCCTCCTCTTTTTAGAGTTTCGTAGACCATTTTCCATGTAGCTTTGAAGTATGTGAGTATATTTCTCTAGATAAGCTTTTTGGGTTTTTTTCCCTCTACAGGAAATCCTCCGTCAAAGGTTTATGGCAATATTCGAGCCGTGGCTAGCAGAGCAGCAGATCGATTCTGATTTCAATGCAGAGACTTTTTATGTTGTCCTTGGACTCTAGAGACAAAAAGACTTTACCCTCTACCAGTGGTCACAAGAAACCATGTGAAGAATTTTTCAGTCGCTGTAAGCCTCAGACCCTTCTTCAGTTCTCAGGCAGAAGCATACACAGAAAGGAAAAGTTTGATAATATTCACACTCAACAGCTTTAAGGATAGTTTAAATATCAAAATTTAGACCATTATTATACTCAGACATTAATACAATTTATCATTTTTTGTTTTTCGTTTTAAATCATGTAGCAGATTTGTATAGTTTCTAATTCTTTTATTTGGAGGGAAACTTGTTTATACAGTTCTGTATGAATTTATAAGTTATTTATAAATTTATAGCTTTTTATGAATTTGTAAACATTTCTTCTGAGTTGTAATTAAAGAATTGTCTCAGAAAACCTGTCTGAATCATGACCCTTAATACTGGGTGGTGTGTGACTGTTTTATAATCAGGTCATAAACAGCAGTTTGGCTATACTGTGTGAACTAAAAGGGCTAGTATTTGTACCTGTTTTGTAGTTTATAAAATTGAAGACCTTTATCACAAGGTTGACATGAGAAAAAGTTATTTTTCACATCAGTATATCATGGGAGTAGACATTACCAATAATGTTGGATCTATTTCTTCTAAGGTAGTGTAAATGAAATATGGTAAAAGAATGTTTTCACTCCTAAAAATGTTACGGTATCCTGCAAATGTAATTGCCTGTTTTAACTAGCATCTGCCTATTTAAATACCTGATTCAGTTTCTGCATTTTTTAAGTAAAAGGAATTCATTTCATTAAACATGTATGGTATCACATTTGCTTGTACATCTCTCAAACCCTTGACCAAAACTTGAACTTTACTGATGGGAAGATTAAAAAGTTCATGTAAACTTCTTTTTATAGGCTTGTTTCCTTTACTTCAGTTACATGTGCCACTGTCCCAAACCAGTATGTACTTTGTATAGGATTGGATATACTTACATATTGCAGTGGGACTCCAATGGGAAATTGCTGGGAACATTTCCCATCCAAAATAATTTTTTCCATTGGCAGCACAGCAGCACAGAGAGAGTATGGTGTGTGATGGTGCCAAATCTCTTCACTCATCTCTTTGGAAAAGGGGAATTTGTTGGGACTTTCTTGTTCTGGAGTCTGCACAGACTTCAGAAGGTACTTGCCCACCTGGTGATTTGCCCAGCAAGTCATATTCAAAATTGTGACTACTTCGGGAGTACTTTTCTGGGGAATGGGTCCACAGTTTTAATTAGGTTTTTCAAAACATTAGGACTGAAATGAGCCATTGCTAGGTAACCATAAATGTTATGGGTTGACTTTTAAGGAAATAGCATAATTTTGACTGGGAAACATGGGTTTTCTACCTTAAAGTCAAGTCATGTTTTGGTATTGTCTGAATTGACTTCCTTTTGAAGATTTCTTAGGTAGTTAGAACTATCGGTAACGCAAGTGAGTAAATATACGTGGTCTGACAATTAAGTTCGCAAACTCATCCTAGAAAAAGTGCTACATGCCTCATTGTTGAATATTACTATAGTCACCTTCGAAGTACTCCGCTTGGGAAGCTATGCACCGCCGCCAGCGCCTAGTACGCCCTTCAAAGCAATTTTGGAACTTTCTGGAAAGCCATCAGAGCTGTCATATTACCCTTGATGTCCTGAATGTCATCAAAATGTCTTCCTTTCAATATTTCCTTTATCTTTGGATAAGGAAAGAAACCAGTTGGGGCCAGATCAGGTGAGTAGGGAGTGTGTTCCAAGAGTGATTTCTTTACAGGCTAAAAACTCCCTCACAGACAGGGCCGTGCGAGCTGGTGCATTCTCGTGATGCAAGAGCCATGAATTGTTGGTGAAAAGTTCAGGTCGTCTAACTTTTTCACACAGCCTTTTCAAAGCACTTCCAAATAGTAAACTTGGTTAACTGTCGAGTTGGTACAAATTCATAATGAATAACCCCTCTAATATCAAAAAAGATTAGCAACGTCATTGCAACAAGTTTGCGAGCTTGTCAGACCTCGTATTTCTCTGGCAGCTGCAAAAATTTGGGGATGCTAAACTTGGATTTAGCACCTTGCGTTTTGGGCCCCTCCCTGATCAAGCATCTCTCCCCTCCCTGAGGGTGCAGTACTCCTTAGGGTTTTTTGTTTGTTTTTTAAGATTTTTATTGGGGAATTAGGGAAGGGGAACAGACAAGTTGCTGTCCTTTTTGTTCTTCAGTCTAGTTGTGGAGGACGTCGCTTCACTGGCCCATGTTGGTATTATCATTGCGCTCTTCCTGGGTGAGGCAGATCAGTCACTGGCCACTGGGTGGCTCACGGCAGCTCACAAAAGTGCACGCCAGCTGCGGGCCAGCCCCACTGCAGCCTACGCCGTCGCCTCACGGCAGCCCAGCTTCAGGTTGAGCTGTTGTTCACCATCTTAGCTGTAGAGGGCAGTGTCACTGGCCCTCATATGTGGGATCCGAACCGGGGCCCTGCTGCTCAGAGTTGGCGTCCCAAGCCAACTCTTAACCAACGCGCCACTCGGCCAGCCCCTCCTTGGGGTTTTGAAAGGGAGAAAAAATGTTACAGGAAACCCAATTAATTCTTGGAATGGGAATGAAGAAGGAATAGAGGTAATAAATTGGATCATAAGTGATACTTGATCTTAACCTGGATCAAATCACTTCGTGAAAGTCTTTTCTAAGACCTGGACACTGAATCTAATACCTAAAACTTTAGCCATGTTTATCCATGTTTCTGTGGCATTGTTATACTGTAATTACATTGTCTGCCTCTCAACCCTAAACCTTCTGATTTCTGGATACTCAATATTTAGCACAATTTCTGATATATAACGATTTACATATTAGCTGGGGAATGGGCCTCAGGAGTATTTTCTTAGATATTTGGTGGCTGATAAGGGAGGAGACCGTGTTTCCTCCTAGTCATTCGAGATGATCTGGGCTCCAACTCTCATACTACCTAGAACTAGGATGGTAGAGAAGAAAGCTCATGTTCACTGAGCATCTGGGAAAAAGACCTAATTCTCCTGATTTGAGCCCCGTTAAAATTGGGACAGCATGCTTAATGTTAGATTACTGAAAGTATAGTGACAATTTACACAGTCATCCTGCAACTTGCAAAACGCTCATATTGTGCAAGTAACATCTTTGCTACTTTGATCTGGTTAGCCGAGATACATAATGCCCAAGGAAAGTGAAGGTTGAAGTGGCAGTGGACTTCTAATTTAATATGCTAGCTAAAGCAATAAGATTTTTTTGAGCATGTGGGAATTTTTGAAGCTAAGGATTAATGTTTCAAGACATGAGCTTCAATGGTTAAGTCCTGGAAACTATTCAGGATTATTTTTCACCATCTTGTCTACTTAAATTCTGGTAAATACATACATAAAATTTACCACTTTAACCACTTTTAAGTGTACAGTTCAGTGACATTAGTATATTCACTGTCCTTCAATCACCACCACCATCAATCTCCAGGACTTTACCCACCCCAGCTGAAACTGTATCTGTTACACACTAACTCCCATTTTCCCTCCTCCCAGCCCTTGGCCATCACCATTCTAGGAATTCGTGTAAGCAGGATCAAACAGTATTTGTTCTTTTGTAACTGGCTTATTTTACTTCACATAGTGTCTTCAAGGTTCATCCATGTTGTAGCATGTTTCATAATTTCCTTCCTTTTAAGGCTGAGTAATATTCCATTATGATGAATAGACCACATTTTGATTACCCATTCATCTGTCATGGACATTTGGGTTGCTTCTACTCTTTGGCTATTGTGAATAACGCTGCTTTGACCACTGTATACAGCCGTACGAGTTCCTGCTTTTAATTCTCTTGGGTGTGTACACAGAAGTGGATGGAACTGTTGGATTGTATGACAATTAAATTTTTTGAGAAATCACTTGTCTCCCCTAGTGACTGCACCATCTGACATTCCCACCAGCAATGCACTAGGGTTCCAATTTCTCCATATCCTTACCAACATATATCCCGGGGTAACAGCAATTCTAATAGGTATGAAGTGGTATCTCATGGTTTTGGTTTGAATCTCCATGACTAGGGATGTTGAGCATCTTTTCATGTGCTCCTGGCCATTTTTATATCTTCTTTGGATAAATGTCTATTCGAGTCCTTTGCCCATGTTCTAATCAGGTTGTTTGTTGTTGAGTTGTAACAGTTCATTTTTTGTTTTTCATAGGGGAGTCGAACTGGCAACCTTGCTGTTAAGAGCGCATGCTCTATCCAGAGCCATCTGAGCAGCAGCTCAGCTCAAGGTGCCAAGTTCAGTCCCAGTGACAAGATCAAACTGGCAATCTTGTCATTAGGAGCATGTACTCTCACCAGCTGAGCCATCCTGCCACCTGTTGGCAGCTCAGCAGCAGCTCAGCTCGGGCGAAGCTCACTGGCCCATGTGGGAATCAAACCAGCGACCCTGTTGCTCAGAGCTCATGCTCTTAAGCAAACTCTTAACCAACTGAGCTACTCGGCCGGCCCACAGTTCTTCATATATTGTGGATAGCAATTGCTTTTATAATGATTTACAAATATTCTGTGGGTTGCCGTTTCACTCTGCTGAGTCATCTCTTCTACAGTTAAGACCATTAGAACTAGGTTAAAAAAAGGAAGACCTAGGGCTTAAACACATATATTGGTTTAGGCTTAACTAATCCTATACTCCTAGTAGTCTAAGGACTCAAAGAATCCAGTGCATAGTTATAACTAATGCATTCCTGACAATATGGGTGTTATGGGTATAGAACACCTCCAACAGCTTGTAACTCATCTGGGCCAGGTAGATCATTTACCTGTCACAAGTATCTCAAGGGTTTATTATTACAGGGGTAGGCATGTAGTAGGAACTCTACAAAGTTTCTGAAAGTCTAAAAAATAATGCTAAATTTTATCTTTTATGAGGAGTAACAAAGTACTGAATAGAATTTATTACAATTGCAGTAAGGGCTAGACAGAATTCTAGACAACTGAGGCTACCAGTGAACAAAGGACAAATCCCTGCCCTTGATGAGTTTCCATTCATTTTAATAACTGGGAAAGACAAAATACATAAGTGAATTATGTCCAAAGAGGTTAAATGCTAGGGAAGAAGCAAATAGGGATGGGATAAAGGAGACCCACTCGGGTGTATTCCTATGTTTAAACAGGGTGGCCAGCAGAGTTCCTGTTGAGCCAAGACATACCTGAAGACCTAGAGGTGTCTGTCAGCTGTGGAGTATGTGGTGGGGGAGACAGTGCAAAGGCCTATAACAGAAGGCAGCGAGGGCTCCAGGGACCACAAGGAGGCCAAGACGGCCGGAAGCAGAACGGTGCATAGGAAAAAAAATGAGATAGGACTCTTAAGTCATAATGACTTATATTTTTCCCAGTAATAAAGCAGATTTATTTTTACTTATGGCTTATAGTCAAAGATCAAACATCAATTTATCAGTTTTTTAAAAATCCAAAAGAATGAAAAAGAGACTATTGATAAAAGTGAACTGGCATCTTAAGATGCTTAACCATAGAGCTGGGCGGACTATTTATTGGTGGAGCTGGGCCCCTTGTTAACTCTCTAGTCCTGACTTCCTGTTAAACTTCGTGGTAACTTCCCGGGGAGGGATGCTAATAAATAGAATAGCCATCTTGGAATTGGGCTCTTATTCTTCATGTGGGCAGCCAGTTGAAGCCCCTGTTGGAAGTGTATGTTCCCACACTGCTGCGGTGCTTTTGTTTTTTTCTTTTCCTGAATAAACCATTCTTTTGGTGGATTTTCTGGCGAGTTATTTTTGGCCAGTCGACACTATCTAATGGCTATGGAAGCCCACCAAAGACCACTGAATACATTCAAGTTGCAAATATTTTATTTTCTTATTCATACA